CCTAGGATGGGGAATAGGGGAACAGGCTCTGCTCTCCCAGACAGCCAGGAAAGAGGCGTCCGGTAGATAGATCAGAGGAAAAATCAGAGGAAAAAGACATTTATTTTCCTTACCTGGGGTGTGATTCCCCGCCAAGGGCCTCGCGCGCCCTGGAGGGCGGTCGCTCCCGTGGAGGCAGGCAGGAGTCGATGCCTCGCGTCGTGTTTGCGTTGCCGAATGCCCGTGTGTTGGGCTGAATGCCCCTTTTCCTCCGTGAAGAGGGCAGGGAGCCGGTGATCCCGCTGCAGGAGGGCCGGCCGCTCAGCCTCGCGACGTCGCACCACTTCTGCTACACCAACACGCGGCGCCCGCAGTGGCACGACGTCTGGACGCGCATCCAGGTGGGCGCGGGAGGCGGCTCCTCGGCCCGGATGCGGCGGGACGGAGCCGGCGGCTTCACCTCCCGCGGCGCCGCCCTTCCCAGATCCACATCAACAGCAGCGGGATGATCCGCGTCATCCAGGTGGACAGCGAGGAGGAGCTGAGGGAGCTGGAGAAGTTCAACGTGGGGAACTTCCTCCTCTCTTTCCTCAAGGAGAAGCTCAACGACACGCGCCTCGACGTGGACCTCTACAGCAGCAAGACCTGCCTCAAGGTGGAGCTGCTGGAGACGGGCACCACGTACCACGTCCTCCTCTCCCGATGTGCGTCCCGCAGTTCCCACGGGATGTAGAGCGGGAGAAGGGCGGGCTCTTCCCGCCCCTTCCCAGCGGGATGAGCCGGGTGTCCCGGGCTCTCTCAGCCGGGGCTTGCTCCCTTTCCAGGTTTTGATCCCATGCTCTTCCTGGTTTTCTTCCTGGGCCTGGTGCTGTTCTTCTGCGGGGACGTGCTGAGCCGGTGAGTACCCCAAAAGCTGGTTGTGCTCCCCGGTTTTCCCGGCCTTCCCGATGCCACGGGGCGTTGGGACAGGCGCTGCCTGCCCGGGAGCTGGGAAGGACCTTTGTGTCCGTGTGTGATGTCCCCAGGAGCCAGCTCTTCTTCTACTCGACCGGCATCACCTTCGGCCTGCTGGCCTCGCTCCTCATCCTCATCTACGTGGTGGCCAAGGTCATGCCCAGGGTGAGCGGCGGGCGCCCTGGAGCGGGATGCGCCGCGGGATGCGCCGCGGGTGCCCATTCCGCCGTGTCCCGCCCTAGAGAAGCCCCGTTTACTTCCTGCTGGTGGGAGGCTGGTCCTTCTCCCTCTACCTCCTTCAGTTGGTCTTCAAGAACCTGCGGGAGATCTGCAGCTCCTACTGGCAGTACCTTCTAGGTGAGCGGCGGCTCCGGGGACGCTCCGGCTCCTCCGTGGAGGAAAATTCCTGGGGAAAAACCCTGGGGATCCCTGCCCCGGTGCTGCCAACACCAAGGGGCGCCGGGGCCGGCTCTGGTGCCCGCAGGCTACCTGCTCGTGGCGGGCGCCGTGAGCTTCGGCGCGTGCTACCGGCTGGGCCCGCCGCGGGACCGGCGCACCGTGGCGCTGCTCTCCTGGGGCCTGCAGCTCCTGGGGCTGCTCCTGCTCTACGGCGGCATCCAGGTGCGTCCCGTGGGCCTGGCCGCCGTGCTGGGCGCCCTGTGCGCCAAGAACCTCGAGTACCCGCTGAGCTGGGCGCGCGCCGCGTGCAGGTGAGCGCGGCCGCGGCCCGGGAGCGGGGTCTGGGGGGGGGGCGTGTGGGGCTGCCCCCGCTCCCCTGGGCTGCGGGGAAGGGCCCCTTGTGGATGGGATCCCCTTGGGAGCGGCTCCGTAGGGACAAACTGCTCCTCTCAGGGCTGGGATCCCCTTGGGAGCGGCTCCATAGGGACAGATTGCTCCTCTCAGGGCTGGGATTCCCTTGGGAGCGGCTCCATAGGGACAGACTGCTCCTCTCAGGGCTGGGATTCCCTTGGGAGCGGCTCCATAGGAACAGACTGCTCCTCCCGGGACTGGATCCATAGGGAGAAACTGCTCCTCCCGGGAATGGGATCCCCTTGGGAGCGGCTCCGTAGGGACAAACTGCTCCTCCCAGGGC